TTNTTATATATATATATATATATATATATATATATATATATATATGTATGTATATAACTTGAAAAACACGTGGATATAATCTATCGATATAACCAAAAACTCGATTATGTATAAATAATTTAATGAAATTCAATTAAAATGCCATTAAAATTACAAAAAAATGTTAGCTATACTACTTGTACAGAGGGGAAAAACGAGAGCGATCGATATAACGAAAATTTTCTTAAGATACAGGCGAATACAAAAAATTTAAACGAAGATATAGTTGAGTATTACACTTCGTGTTAATGTTAATATTGCATTATGAAATATTGTCGTATTAAATTTAGGTAGAAGTACTGTATCTGGCATTGATGTGTTTCGTAATACATTGTTTAAGTTGCATTACTTTGGAAACCGGAGGTCGTTCTTCTTATGGAATCCTGTGACCAAATCGGCGGCATTTAATGCTATTTTTCGGCGAACTTACAGTAAAAATATTTTAAATGATATACCGTTCGAAAATAAGAAGAATCATTAAAGAGTTTCGCCAATCTCTTTTCCTCCTATCTTCTTCATATTCTTAAATTATTAATTGTCAATTCATTCAGAAATACGAAATTTAAATATTTAAAATATAAATTTTTTTAAATTCGAATGTTCGGAATTTAAATTTTCTTAAACTCGAAATTTCAGATCTCATAAAATAATTTTTTTTTTTCTTTTGACAGATCTGAAGATTATAATTCTTATAACGAACGTGATCACAGGACTGATAACTACGTTAATGATGATACTCGCTGATAAATACAACATTCCTTATCTATATTTACCATGGTTGGTGAATACTATGAAAGGGATGACTCTGTGCGAAGGACCGGCGCTTTTTAATATAGCTAATACACTCCTCTCTAACATTACTCTTCCTATTATAATCTTCGTACTCACGACATTTTTTCTATACGGTATAAAAATCCCATATGTTTATGTATTATCGTTATGCGAATTACAAATTATTGCAAATTTTTTTTATTAATTTTCGATATAACCGGATTTCAGTTGAAGAATTTTACATTTGGAGTAACATGTTTTTTAAGTTCCAGCATTGCTGGAAAAACTATCATAACGAGAAACATTCTATCATGGAAAAGACTAAGAAGAGATTATACGACATGCAACAAAACAAAAAATTGCTTTCTCAAGATAACATTGAAAACGAAGTAGATATTGGGTACAAAAAATTAAAATTTAAACAAAAACCTATCGAATTCTACAATGTCAATGATCGAATTTCCACCGATGTACGTTTAAGATCCGTGAAGAGTAGTACGTTCGACAACGGTAATTTTATTCGAAATCAATCGTTGGATATAACTGGATAATTAATTTCGGAAGAGAGAACTACAGCTATATAACTATTAAATCAATATTAACTTATATATACATTAGATTAAATTTTATTATATTTATTTTTCTCGTTTCTCATATGATCTCGATACTTTACAAATTCTTATTACGCATATTATGTACGAACAATAAAATTTTATATTTTATATTTAATGATATGATGAATTCCATATCTTATAATAATTATATAGTGAGAAATCACATTTGAATAAAAAATAAAACTGTACTACGAACAACGGACAGTGGCGTCTTAATTTTCTAGTGTGGAATATTCCTCGATATTTTCTATATTTTTATATCACTTGTTATCTATATCAAAAAAAGATTACGTAACTGATATATTTCGTGTACTTACCGATTCGTATCCAATAATCTCAATAATTTTCTTCCAAAATTTGCAGCACGATACAACACATCACTTCACACATGACGCACCACCAAAACTGCGCGAAATATTGGAAGATGCGCATTAATTTGAAAAATTTTCATTGCGCAGATTGCGAATATCGATGTACTTCAGTCGATTACGATTCTTTGTATACTATACACATAACTTTTTTTTATTTCTTTTAATCATAAATTATGCATTCTTGATTCAAAATTTAAAATTAAATATCTTTATAATAATCAACACGAAAGAAAATATAAATTTTAATTTTAAGATTTAAAATTTAATCATACCTTGATCGATATATCGAATTAGTTTTATCTCGATAATACGTTGTTTAGAAATAAATAAATTAATATATAATATTTTTATTTAAAATATAAAAAAATAAAAAATTTTAAATATTATATCTAAAAATATAATTGAAGTTTATATCTATCTTAAAGATTCGTTAAAAATCAAAGTATTATGTTAATAAAATCAACGATTCCCGCCTAAAGTGAGAAATGGCGGCAAAATAAGCGCACACATGCGTAGTAGAAAGTTCCGTTCACATTAATGCAGGTTAAGTCGTTGTGCTCATGTTGTGCTTGACGCTCGTACAAGTAAGCGTGCCGGTAATAAACCGTTGTTTGGTATAACGGTCGTTCCGTTAAATCTCCTTGCGATCCTGTACATAAATTTATTTGTAAACTATTAAAGTAAAGCTTGTGATTTTCTAAACGTCGCGTACAATCTACGAAGAACGATAAAAGTGTGTTCAACGTTAAAAAATCAGACGTCCAGTGATTCGAACGATTATCGAGGTATGCGTATTTTCTTTGTGTTCTACGTATATTATCGATATTTCTAATTTTTTCATTATACACACGAACGTATATATATATGAATAGTAGTGTTAAGTAATTAAATATTTGCACGTTCGTAAATTAAGATATTGTTGAATTGTTTTACCGAACAAAATAGTACGTAACACGTAGTTTATTTTTATACGTACATTCTTAGTACAATGAGCTCATGCTTATACTACTTTTGTTGTTTACGACATTAAATAATAATCTGTTGAATTTATGAACAGATGTACATATGTGTAGGTTGTAATATATAGCATGTCTCCCGCGTTACATATACACTTGTAATGTCTGGTCACGTGTTCCATATTTAAATGATACACGTACACGAAAATTGATACGTGTGTGCATCTATTCATCAAGATCCATATCTTTGCAAACACCATTAACGAAACATAACCTTTCACATAACAAAACAAAAGTTTTTTTTTTTTTTCAGTTTTAAAATATCGTGTTATTAATGATGAAATTGAATGAAAAGACAAAAGAATTTTTTTATTTATACATAGCTTATTCTTTTTATTGCGTTTATGATACATTAATATTCATTTCAATATAACAAATAACAAGGGTCAGGTAAAAAATATGACAATCAAGAAAATATTATCAGAAAATGCGTTTCGTTTTAAATAAACTAAACCGGAGAAAAGTTTTGCAAGCGTATTCGTTTTCTTTTTTTTTTTTTTCTATTTTATTCATCATTTTATCAATGAACTAGACAAAACTTAGTCTCCGGGTATATAATAGATGCTTCCATAATCAAAGCATCTTTATTTTTCTTAAATCTTAATGGACGAATTGTAATTGTAATTCACAATCCTTTGTATATGATACATTTTGTTGGCATAATTCCTTTTTTTTTTTTTTTGCTGTAACAAGTCGTAGCAAAAGCTAAATTCTTCTTGCAAACACGCATATCGTTGCTTGTATTGGCTCGAACAAGTTTACTGCTATGCTATGCATATTACAAACATGCTTATCTTTCTAATTATAAGGCGATCGAATTATACTATATGCATCTATGTTATATTACAATTTGTGTCGAAATTTTCAAGCAGAGGTCAACAAATATTGTCTCAACTTCTACAACTCATAAAAATATTCTTATACCAAATCAATTGTTACGCAAATTCAAATATATCTATTGCAACTGTGTAAAAAGATCATATAAGAAGTATATTAAAATTATGTCTAAAAAAGATAGATTAGAATCAGTAAAGGTTTTCTTTACTTGTACATTAATTGACTAATCTGACTGCAAATCAAAACTGAGATAAACGTGTACTCTGTTCTACTTATCATTGAATAATAGTTCTTCAATCCAAAAAGCTTACTTTCCTCTTGTACATTATCTTATATCCATGCACTTGCAAATAATTTATTTTATCGTAAAGGTCTATATGAAAAGGGGGATTTTTGAATTATTCCATCGGGACATAAATCTGTGCAAAACTTTAAAGTTTTGAAAACTTAAAGATATATTATTTTAAAACTTATATATCCCTCTTCTACATATAGTTCTTCACCCAACTATGTATTGTTTTTTTTTTTTTTTTTTTTTTTCAAAGATTAGAGATTGTTAGATAAATTGTATAAAACAGAAGGTTAGCCCAAAAATTAGGCTCCTTCCATCGCTTGCCATGCTTTAGACAGATTCAACATAGGTTCTATAAATTTGACAAACACTATGCAATACACATTATCTGTTAATAAAACAAATTGCCTTCGAGGTGGTCATTTTCAATCATGATATCATTTCTGGAAAAAATACTCTCAAAATTTGTCTCAATGTCGTACCCTATTTTCAAGTAATTAATCCTTCAAATGTTAAACTTTCAGCCTAAACTTTCTCATTTTAGAAACTGTGAATAATTTCATTCAAATTGATTGTTTTACACAATGAAAATTCCACAGCTTACAAAACAATTCATGGTATTGAGCTGCCCATCAAGTTGATTCACTTTCTAATTAGAACAAAACAGTCTACACAATCGTCCCCGGTGACCTGTTTCCCATTATGGACGAACGCAATCTCGCTCCACAGATTTGGAACATGTTTGAAGAGGCGACGACATCGAAACGCTCTTTCATAACTGTTGGAAACGACCTTAGACCTCGAAGGCCTCCCACTGCTACGCTATCATAGCGGCTATGGGGCTGAAACGCATTATTTTGCTGAGCAAGATCCACGCTACCGAGGCGAGGGCGCAAAGCGTAACACCACCCCATCCAAAATCCATGCTCCAGGAGCTGGTGAATCGTCTGGCCTTGAGAACATTACGAGAAACCGGTCCACCAATTACACCATCCTCAGGGCCATCCAGTATTCGAGCTCCGCGATCCTGAGCTCTCTTGAAGTGAATAATCGTCAGGGTAAACAATGCGAACGTGGCTAAAATAATTTTTTCATATTAGAAGAAAATTTTTTTCCAGTAAAAATAATTGAATTTATTTATTTTTATTTTAATAATGAAACTCCGTAACGACTTTGAGTCAATGGAAGAAGAAAAACAAAAGAGTTAATTGGAAGAAAAAGATATGAGAGAAAAATGCGGTGTAGCCTGGAGTGTTTGGGTGACGTCTTATCAGAAGCGAGAGGTGTTTGCCTTTTATCGTACTCGACGACAACTACTGGTGCCAAGAAAGAAACTCTTTTGTTGAATGAGAAAACACTTTTGTTATTCATTGAAAAGTTATTGAAGTCTTGATAAAAAATAAGCTTATTTCATAGCACAATTCAGTATACAAAGTTCAACGAAAATGTAAATTGGACACTTGTGATTATTGGTTTGTACTTTCATTCTTCACGCTTACTTTTGAAAACCAATTTCTTTCTTTTGCGTGAATTTATCATCGATGAATAAACACGAGAAATTTACGTGAACCAAACTTGAAACTTTTAACAATGTATTTCACTCTTAGAACAGCTTATTTTGTGGTCGACTTCTTAAGTATGCAGAAATCTTTGTGGTTACCGGGTTTCACGCAACTAAAATGTTTTAAATCGATAAAATCTATTCGATTAATGGGATTAACATTATAATGACGTTTCGAAAAGAATTTTAAAGAAACTCACCTGCTAAGAGATACATCACACCGGTAACAAGGACCGCTGATATTTGGTGTCTGCAAAGTCCAAAAAATCCAATGAGAACCGCCGTGCCCAAAATGATCAAACAAACTAGAGAACAGGAGATACTCAAGTTCTGCATTCCTGCGAAACAACATGCATTTCTATTGTTGTTGGAATTGTTTAGGAAATTTGCTTATAAAACATTTCATTGAAATATAACAAATGCTCGAATACTATTTAATAGAGGGAAAATTTTTAATAAAATTTTAAAAGAATAATCGATTTGAGTGAAGCAAACGAATTCAAAATTAAACCTACTGCGAAATTTCAATGAGTAATCGATAAACTAATTTTGTTTGAGCTATTCTTTGTCTATGTGGAGAAACATTGAAAATTATACTGTATTGATTTAATTTTCAGTCGCCATAAATAGAAATCAATCTAGCAATAGTGATCGTGTCAATCATCGTGGAAATAAAACGAAGAAGAAAAGAAAAAAGGTGTACTCACGATTTTGCCAGGCGGCACGAATCTCTTCGTGTGCTTCGTCGGGCGTCAAGTAGTTAATGCACCTCTCTTGCGGAAAATCTACCTGACCTAGTAGTCGTATTTCCTCTTCTGAAACGTGAGCAAGTAAAAAAAAAAAAGAAATGACGTGGTTTTCACGCTGTTTCTTGCACGACATGGAACGAAATTATGAACGGGTAGGTTTCCACTTCTCTCGTTCCTTTGCACCCCGATTTTTAATTAAACGATCCTTAAAAGTTTCCCTTCACGTGTTAAAAATATGATGAAAGAGCGTAAAAACATTCAATCCAGTTTATTGAAAAAGTATCAAAGAGGAGCAAATTTTTACCGAATTCTTATTCGAGTAATATATTTTTTATATATAATTTTGGATTCATTATAAATTCTAACGAATGTTTAATTATAAATTGACAAGATATTTCTTTTTATATGTTTTGATTTTTAATTGGAAAGCTTCATATTTTTTTAGCACGACAGCAACGAAATGTATAAAGAAATATATAAATATGAAAGTGAAATCGATCAGTTAGAAAATGAAAATGAAAATAGAGTATGGGTTGGTTTTAATTCGAAAAGAAACAATAAAATGTATTTCCGTGCATGGAGGATTGTATACACGGATTTATTATGTGACCGATTAACTCGAAATACTTAATACTTGAAATGAGTAGTCAAATTAAATCTCGAGCCAAGAGCGCCGAATAGTTGGAGCGTGAGATTCGATATCAGATTCCGAATACTATCGGCTCGTTGGAGAGGATGAACCTCCGAAGCATGGATTTCCGTGAAATGTCAGGAAGACGAGGGTTAGAAGGCCGTAGAAACTTGGAGAATTGAGTAATAATAAATTCTGAAGCAGAAATAGCTCGATTCAAGTTCATCAGATCTGGGTTGTTCTATCTGCCCTCGTATCTCACTTTTCATTCAACAAATGAACAATGATATTTTAAGATAAATGTAGGTTAAGTAAAAAAAAAGTAATTTCATTAATGAAATTTTCAACATCTTCGAAATTACATATTTAACAAAGAATTTCAGATATTTATTGTCTCTAAAGAATGTACAAATTATTTGCATGGATATAGAAACATCAAATATCACGAGATAATTTCAACATTTGCGAATCAAGAATTTTAGATTGATTTTCACAAAGAACATTAGTACATAGAGAAATATTAGTACATAAAGAACATGCACCGTATGATTTAAACAGTAACGTTTCGTGCTTGGCGTGACCAGAAACCATCAAAGAAAGTTCTCCAAAAAGGAAAAGAAAAAAGGAGGAACTAAACGAAGAAATTGAGTACTTTTGCTAAGGTCAAGTTTATTCGATGATAAAAATTCATCTTATTTATAAAGAGCACTATAACTTTTTTTATCCTTCTAAATTCATTACTATTTCTTTCTCTATTTAATTTTCATATTTTCCCATAGCAGAAACTTCCAGTGTAAAAAGCTAAAGAAAATACTTAAATACTTAGCAACGAGTTGAATAGGTACTTCGGCTTGAAGAAAAGCAGATAGTAATCATAGCCTTTTCATTTTTCTCTTGTTCCCAATAGGGCAAGAAAATTAAACTTCAGAGCATACAATCAACAGTGAAAAATCATCCAATAAGTAAAAAAAAAGATAATCGTTGAAAACGTAGAAATATTGAAATTTCAACTCTGGCGTTGGTCTTTTTTTTCAATTAAACTTTTTGGACGAGAATACAAAGATTCTTGACAAGTAAGTTCGTGATAAAACGTCGAGAAATATGAAAGAATGACTTCGTTATATCACGTTGCAATTTTCAATATTACTGAATCGTTATGAAAAGAAAAAAAAAAGAAAGGAAATAAGAAAATTTTCCATGCATTTTCTTGTTTCAAGAGATCGTATTTTGATACATAACAATAATTACGTTGCTCGTAAAAGAATGCAAAAAAAAAAATTAATAATAAAATTATTATTTTATTTATAAATTGCATTAATAAGGAAAAAATTTATAATTTTTTTTTCTCAAACATAGAGAAACATAGATAAACATATGGTCAAATGATGATCTTAAAGTAAATCGCATCTATTCATGACATCTTTTGTATCCTTCTTTCTAATATTTTCTGATTGATAAGATTATTATTAAATTGGACGATCTTATCGTATTTTATAGCGATAACTTTTTGTGATAATAACTGCACTTCTTGATGCTAAAATGCAAAACAAATCGATAGCAATGATTATCGATTTGAATATTTATCATATACAATTGTTTTCTAATAATAATGTATCTTCATATTTTGATTCATTTTCTGCACTGTGTGAAATTTGTTCTTGTTTTTTTTTTCTTTTTTTTTCTTTTTTTTTTTTATGTGATACACAATTCTCTCAACCAAATGTTCAAAACATCTAATCTAAAACATATTGTATTTTCTATGATGTTTTGTTTAGTCTTTTATATTTTGATTGATTTTTTGTTCAATCTTTTTTTTTCGAAAAAACGATTCAATTTTTTCTATTTAACATTTTCTTTGAATTTTATGAAATTATTATAATATTACTTATTATTTGTTTTTATAAAAACGAAGAAAATAAGTGTATATGACGGGTTTCAGTAGAAAGTATCGATTATTCGGAATCTATTCATACATTTTCATGTATACAAATTTTCTTGTATCTTCTTTGTTATTATTATTCAAATTACCATTTTTGTAGTTTATTTTTTTATTATTTAACTATAGTTTTCTTTTTAATGGTGTTCAAATATTATTTCATATTATTCAAATTCTTTTCTTAATATCTTTTCTTTGCTTTCTTATTTTTTTTTTGTTTTTTGTTCTAAAAAGATTCTCGTTATTAAAATTTCCTTTCTCAGGAGTATTCATATTTTAAATTTAGTTTGATTCTCATTGAAGAAGATAGAATGTTACAACTCTCTGTTGCAACACATTCAAGTGTTATTATTTAATGCTTTAATTTAATTTAATTTAAAAATCTCATTCGTGGAAGCTATTGATATATAATATCAACATTAAGACTGATTATCTGATAATTTTTGTCCTTAATATAGCATTTATTTTGTAAATAAATTATCTGTGATTAGTTAAATTTACAAAACTCAATATTGTTTAATTAAAAAAAAATTAAGAAGCAAAAAGAAATCTTTGTTTAATATGTTAATTTGCGTTTCGTTTGAATGAAGTTTTTAGCACAGTGAAAGTGATTGGGACAAAGTTTTCAACGAAGAAACATCCAAGATGTTCATGGTCACGGCATGCCTAGTCAGACAGTACAATATTTCAGATCGTAATCGACTGGTCGATAGCTTGGTCAGAGTCAAGGTGGTATCCATGTATAGAACACCGGTTCATACGGAACCGCATCATTGTAGATACGTCGAGGTGATTACGTGAGGTGTGTGCACTGTGTATCATTGAAAATTTACACTGCAAAATCGATTTTTCACGTTCAAACAAATAGCTTCAAGAACTATTCATCGAATTATTTTCTGACATATTTTACTGTTTTAAGGTTGAAAAAACGTTTAATTTATAAAGAAAAAATTGGTGCGATTTTTATGAATAAAATTCACGAATGAAGCTTTTTTAAAAACTAATAACGAATTAAAAAATCTCATCGATGGTGTATCGATATAAGATTCAAAAGATCCATGCAAGTTTTAAATTCTAAACGTATTTTCTAAACGTAAGAATATCTAACAAAGTTTAATTTAAAATTTATTAAATTGTATACTTACCAGTAAGCGAGACACACATGATCCAAATACCACCGTACATTGGTACGAGAAAGGTAGGATGATGGTTTCTGTGGCCGGATGTTGGTTCTACCATTGCTACTTGTCCATCCAAATACCACGTGAGTGTAACATTCGCATGAGTTAGAGCCTCCTTATCCCAGCCAACTTCTTCCCAGTGATCCGACATTATGGCACCACACAATAACCCGGTCGCTAGAACAAAGATGAAACACAATTCTCTGTTAAGGTATTGACGTTCCTTTCTGTTGGAATGTTCTCATTATTTTAAATCTTCATAAGTTGGTAGTCAATGTGCATAAATGGAATGTAGAAAACAGTCATTTGAAGCATTTATTAAAAGTTCTTAAAAGTTATCTACTTTTAAAAATGTATTGTCTCGATATTTGTAAAACTTATATGATTTCAAAAATATTCACGTGTAATACATCATATTTTTTCAGATGTTTACTTTATAAAGAAATGTACAATAATTTTGTACATGAATAATATCTGAAACGTCTGATGATATGTACTGAATTATATTATTTTAGCTATTATTGCATCTCATAAACTTTACTGCTAGAAATGAATTTCTTTTTCCTAAGGATAAATATACAATGATTCTAAGATTCTACAACGTTTGCCAATATTGACAGCAAAGAATGCTAAAAGTTTAACGAGAAACCTTAAGAAGAGGCATCGTTTTCGCGCCATAGATAGATTTGTATGCCATAGAAAATTTTATTACATAAGAAATCTAGTGGCTGCCATTGGCAAGGGTTCTTGAATATAATAGGATATAGAAGCACTTCTCTCTGAGTGACCATATCTCTCAGGTGAAAAAAATGTACGGTGCAATGAATTCAACCGGTGGTTGTTGACCTCTCTACCAGAAAGAAATCTTTCAGGAAAGCAAGAGATATCAATAAAATAAAGAACACTTAAAGGAGTGAAAATGAATAAAGTGTTTATCGAATGAATAAAGTGTTTATCACGTGGTATCATTATGGTAGTGATATCCAATTACAATATATATATATTCTGTTTTCAGATAATTTCATTAAATTATATTATTTTTTGCATTCAAATAGCCACGATAGAATGATAAAAATAAAGGCTAAGAATAAATGTCATCAAATGTGAAATACAGATATATATTAAATGCGATGACGCTGCAAAATGCGACGTTTCGTTCTGGACCAAGAATAAAAGTATCATTATCCACGTGTTTCTTCATTTTACAAGGATTTAATATAAACTTTAAATACGCAATTAATCGATGCATCATTAAAAACATACGCCGGTATCAATTAACGTGATGAAACGATAGATCTATGTATTTATTGGAAGTTTTTTTATCGGTCACACTACTTTTTTCACATAATTCAATTATACCACACAAATTGGAAATACGATGGGAACATGGTGATATTTAGATCATCCTTCATAATATCCTAGTGACACGATTCTTCGGATCAGCTGATGGTTTTAACGAATGAGTCTATACACAGGATTGGAAGAAGCACATTCTATATATCATTCATTCGTGCGTCTACGAAGCCAATAACGGAATAAACCACCTTATCCGATTTATTCATTACGTAAGATGGATTTTGATTATTGCATAGCCGGTCTAGACCTTAGATCCGTCTAAACGGAGACACGAGACGTCGAGCAAGTGGGAGGATCATCGAACGCAATGAATTGTGTCGATTACCTGCGAAAGTGAGGGCTAGCGTCGCAACGAGAAAAACAAGACGTGGACCAGGGGCCCTGGGTACACGAGTAGGCTCCATCCATGCAGGTGGTGCCCAGGGCGACCGCTGGCAGCCCACTGAAAGCTGCACAACTGTACCGACAGTTGCCAGTTACGCACTGACCAATCAACACCCCCGGAGCTCGTGGTGTTTTCGGCGACTCTCCACTACTATAAGGGGGCAAACGATCAGCACGCCCTCTCCGTTCTGCGTCGAAGCGCACGAAAATCGACCGACGTACCACCCAACTAACCACCCCACCCGGATGCTGCAGACAACCCACTCCGATCATTTTCTCTCTTCTTTCTCACTCTTTCTCAGACAGATGAGACATCATTTCTTTTCGTTATTCTTCTTCTTCTTTTTCATTCTTTGATTCGATCCATTCCTTCCTAAATTATTCTCTTGATAGTTTTCTTTATTCTGCATTTTATTATTAACGATGATAACAGTTCTTTTCCCGCATTAGCGTTTTTAACGTTGTTTCTTTGGATTACGAAGAACTGTTTCTTTACCCTGTCGTCATTAAAAGAATTTTTCTGGTATATGATCATTTGGAAGGCATTTTACAAATTTTAATTTCGTCGAAGCATTAAACTTTCAATGAAACTTGGTATAACAAGCATGATAGTTTTCTTTTCTAGAATTCTTATGCAATATAAAAATTTGAGCTATTATCAGTATGAATGGTAAAAGCTTTAAAGTAAAAATATTATGATAGTAAATTATAAAACATAATAAGTCTTCAAAAACTGTCTATCATTAATTTACATCAGCGTGTGCGAATTCTATTATTTTTGTGAGAGTTTTTGATTGAATTGTGAAAAAAGCGCTTTGTTTGTTAGTCATTTATAATAGAAAACTATGATTGTTAACAGGCTACTTACAATTGTGCTAATGTTAATAATATTAGTGATATAATACTCGACATTTAAATGTCATTCTCTTATCCGAAACGTGTTCGAGTTGCTTAACCGCACAATCGTAAGTTACTTTTAGTCAAGTTGAATTCCTGCAAAATCTTAAAGATTTTCCATATTTATTTAGTCAATGTTGACATTAGGAAGAGAAGAATGCATTATTTTGACTTTAAATATGATCTATGTAGAAAGCATCGACACGTATCACGCGTAGGTGGTATAATATTCTGTACACGTTTTAATCGCATCATGATATTATCGATACTCTGTGGGCGTATAATTAAAGATTTTTTTTTTTTTAACGAAAGATTGAAATTTTTTTTAGCAATGATCGAAAAATCTAAGAAATTAAAATACTATACACTATTAATCAAGCAGTTTTTAGTTTTTATAAAATGTTGTAGATAGAAATTTAATAAAAAAATTAATTTTTCAAGTATTCTTATATTGTTTCAAAAGTAAATATATGCACTTTATGTTAAAGATGGCCGATGTCGCCGAAAGTGCAGCCTTTACCGATCCAGCTACGGCAATCTCTCATGGAAAACGACATTTGTTAGTGAGAGATTACACCATGGCTGTAACCGCATTGGCACAAGCTTGTCAATTGCTTGCTGAAAAACATGGAGATACTGCGGATGAACTTGGTGAGCCTTATTTATTATACGGTCGGGCTCTTCTTGGTCTAGCAAGAGAAGAAGCTGGGGTATTGGGTGGCGGAGTACCAGGTACAGAAGAAACTGAAGAGGATGATGAAGAAGACGAGGAAGAAGCTGAGGATGAAAAATTAAGCAACATAGATGAAAAAGAAGACGAGGAGAGTGAAGATCATACGGATAATGGTACGGTGAGCGATGAAAAAGAGAAAACTGCTATTGAGGACAAAGCTGAAGATTCGAAAACTGACCAAGAATCTAAAAAACCAGAAGCTGAAAAAAAAGAAGAGAAAATAGAATCAAATAATGAAAAGCAAGAAGTTGAAAAATCAGAACTTGATAAGACAGAAGATAGTAAAATAACGAAACAAGCGATAGAAAAGCCAGAAAAGGAAGATGAGAAACCTGCAGCTGGTTCTAGTAAGGATATAAGTCACGCTAATGGACCATCTTGTTCATCTGATCATAATGGAGATGTAAAGAAAAATGGAGAAAATGATGGTGAGGATATAGGAAATGAAGATGAAGAGGATGAAGTCAACAATCTACAGGTTTGTAAACAAAATTATTTATCTATATATAAATTATCTACATATCTATAAATCTTTTTTATTTTTTATTATTATTCATTATACATAATATTTAAATTAAGATTGCATTAATCAAATTTTATTAAAATTTTTTCTTATACAAATTTTCATTGAACATTGAAAATTATAAAATTTAATAAATGTTTATTGTTTAAATTAAAGGTCGCTTGGGAAGTATTAGAGCTTGCGAAATTGGTGTTGCTAAAACGTGGTCAGACAGGTTGGAAATTATTAGCCGATGCTTATCGACTCTTAGGAGAGGTGGCTATGGAGGGAGGAAACTTTCAAGGTGCTCTGAATGATCTGCATCGGTGTTTGGACCTTTTACAACAGATTGAGCCTCGGGAGCCAAGGGCAATAGCCGAGATACATTATCAGCTTGCATTAGCTCATTCTTTGGGCAACGAATTCGACGCTAGCATCGAAGAGTTTAATAAAGCCACAGAATTATTGGAAACGCGTATAAAAGAATTGGAAGAATAAAAGAACCTCCTAAAACGGATGATTCTTTCTATACTGTAGAAGGAGAGATCCAAGAATTAAAAGAACTGTTGCCAGAAATCCAAGAGAAGATTTCAGATATGAAGGACTTCAAGCAAGAAGCCTGCAAACTTGTCATAGAGGGTATCAAAAGCAAAGTAGCTGGTGGTTGTTCAAATGGTGCTGGACCAAGTGGTAACAATGATTCTGCACCTAAAATTCAAAAACCTGCTAGTGATATATCTCATTTGGTGCGTAAGAAACGGAAAGCCGACGAACCAGAGACAGAAGTTGCGTCGCCATGTAAAAAACCGACACCAGAGAAAGCTGTTTGAATAAATTTAGTGTATCTGAAATGTTCTTGGTACCTTGTTACTTGGTTTGACATGGTGAAAATTTGAAGGAAAAATCTGTATCAAAGATAGAACTTTCAGTGTTGGACCAAAATAAGATAAAAAATCAGTGATCCCAGCAGAAAGATTCTATATATCAGGGAAAATGTTTTAATAGAAATAGACAGAATATTTTGATTTTATCTCTTTTATTCAATGATTACAGTCAAAAATTATTGAATACATATTTTATTTCTTTTTTTTTTTTTTTTGTTCTGTAATTCGTGTATTTATTCTTTATCTAATAAGAAATTGGCAATAACAAATTGCTGATTACTATCCAAATTATATTCATTTTTAAACTTATTTTCTAAGACATATTATGGCATTAAGAAATAAGGCTGTTTATGTATAAGTCCGACTAATAAACGTTAAATGATGATTTTTTCTAAACGTGTTATAGATATAAATGTCACATTTTAAATAAAATCTATACTATATTTTTCAAATTATATCATAAAAACATTGTATAACAATCAGACTATTTTATATACTTAATATCTACGATCACATTTTTGGACGGATTACATTAATTCAATGCATGTAAATACTTTATATAGCTATTCTCCTAAAAGTTCTTCGATATCGTCCTCTTTATCAGAATTTTCTTCTCGTTGAATTTTCATTTTATAGCCAAGTGCTTCTAATACACTGACATTGAAATAATAAGCCAAATTTATGCCAGGTATTAAACGCTTTAATTCTTCTATACTAGCACGTGCTTTATCTGTATCACCAATATCAATATAATGTTGAGTAATAGTTGCAAATAAATCGCCACGACGAATTGATTGTTCCAAGTCTGGTCCTTGAGAATCGAGTAATTGATGCACTTGTTGCATTGCTGCAGCAGTTTCGCCTCTATCAAACAACCTGTATAATAATAATTAATAATACTTCATTAATCATAATTTTAATTTCTTCTGCTATATATAAAATAAAGTAATATTTTACTTTTTAATATCTAAATAACGTCTGACCACCGCTATCCTATTGTTCACTAAATCTATCGCTCTTTTATGAATATCGAGATCTCTTGGAGTTACTACTTTTGCCAAACATCTACTTGCTTGATTCAGAGCATCGAGAGCTTTTTCATAATTTTGGAACTCGTCAATTTCTACTTGTGCACAAGCAACGTAAAAATTGGCCAATAAATCCATTGCTTTCCCCTTAGAATAAAAATTAATAATATTTTTTAATACTTCTGGTTGATTTTGCCAATCTAATGATTGCAAATAATTTCCAGCCATGATATAGATCTCTCTTTGTCTAGAAACTTGAGCAAAGAAACAAATCTTTTCGGTATCACCAGATTTTAATAAGGCTTTCATAGCTCTCAATTTGTTACCAGCTTGAGTAAATTTTTTTGTTGCCAAATGATAATTTCCCTGCTCGAACGCTATTTCACCTATTCTTTCTAATATAGATATTCGTATCTTTTCATGATCTACGTCATTATCAACTTTATCCAAAGTCATTTTTTCAGCTAAATCTTCACTTAACAAAATATTGTATTTCTGTATTAATTCCAAAGCTTCCAAATATTTTTTTCCAGTTGCAAATAGATCTACTGCTTTTTCAATCTGCTCATTTTGAACGAAATAATCAGCACATTTTATTATTAAAGCAGGATCAGAATCCGCATTGACATCCATAATAATTAATTGTAAAGCACTATATTGTTTTGTTTTAAAGGCAATATCTAGCGCTTTATGTAATAAACCAGCTTTATGATACAACAAAACCGCTTTATCTGACTGATCGTTTTCTTCATAATATTTCGCAACATCTATCTGTGATTGTCTTGAAGCTAATACAGCTAAAGGCCATAATTCCTCGAACATATCATGTTCTTTGCACAATCGAATTGCATTTGTGTAAGCTTTAGCAATAGTATAAAAATGAATAGCTTGAGGTATATTATTTTTTGACTCGTAATGTGCCGCTAAATGATATGCAGATGCAGCATGATTTGTTCGTGATACTAATTCACTAACTTCATCTTCTCTATCAAAATAACAAAGCAATCTGGTCATTGCAAGAGTATTTTTAGCTTGTTCGTACAATTTCAATGCTCCCTCCATATCGCCAGTTGATTCTATATATTGTGCATGCCAATTTTTAATTTCCGAATCGTCGGAATTATTAAGATATGCCAAAAGTTCTCTAGGTCTCACGAATAACATTCTTGGCACTTCAAATCGATGACAATCTGCTTTGGTATACATTTCTATAGCTTCTGCTATTTTACCTTCTTGTTCAAGAGCTTTAGCATAACTATAATAACTTGTTTTTTCACAAATTTTATTTTCATTTTTTGCCAACTCTATAGCTTCTTTAAACTTATTACGTGCTTCAAGAAGTTTGCCCAATAAATCTAATCGTTTTGCTTCGCGGAAAAGACGTTCAGCATCATTATATAATCCTAATTCAACTGCTAATATTCCTACTTTGGCTTCCAGATTTAAACTGTTATCATTAATAGCTTCTCTAAGAGCTCTTGCTGCTCGCGCTTGTTTCATATGGCCCAAACATAAAAGAGCCATGTTTAACTGCTTTGTTTTCACACACATTCTCGCTAAGCTTTTCCAGATACCTTCATTTTTAATAGATTTAATCGACTTAAAAGCTTCTTCCATATTAGCAATACTGATATGAAAGCTGAAATCTAGAACAGCTTTCTTCGTAACAGAATCGCATATACCCAATTCCTCAAAATCCCTCATAAGTAATTTTGTTACTTTACTAGTTCTCTTTATTGTTTTTTCAGAATTTAAAATAATGATGTGTGGAGAATGAACACCTAAAACTCTACAATTTTCATCCTTAATTGGCTTTATATCCTGTACAACAATCCCATGATCTGACGTAGCAAACATTGATACCAAAACTACAGTAGTTTTTAAAATGTCATAATCATTTTCATTATTTTGTTTTGAATATTTGGAATCTCTTGTCTCCAATCTTTGTGCTCGACATACTAATAACCTGGGATCTTCTATGTCCCAATAATGAGCAGTAACTAATCTTCCTTTGCATTTTATAGATAAATCAGTATCATCTTCATCCATATCTTTTGATTCTGCAAAATCAAATTCGTGTATCTGATCACTTTCTATATCCCAAACATATAAGATTGAACTTGGCATTAAATTTGTCATTGCAACAGTTATAGATACGCAACGACAATCAGCGTTACATCTTGCTTCAATAATTCAGCAAAATCAGTAATTGCCTCATAAGTTGCCATTGCTCTAGTATGTAACTTTGCCTCACGTTTGCTTAAATCCCAAATTTTTAAAATTCCATTTAAAGATGCAACTGTTAAATATTGCCCAGTCAAATCCATAGTAATTGGTTCACCTTCTTCTGGTAATGTAGGTAGCATTTGAATAAGAGTGCCTTCCATTGATCGTAATTGTATGACTACAGGAGTAAGAATGATTAAAGTATGATCATAAATTAATAATTTTTCAGTATCACAATTAAAATTTGCAATTAAAGTAGTATTAAAAGATGTATCAATATGAATTCTATAGATCACAATTTGTCTACCAGAAGCAACAGCAATATACTCTTTATTAATAGCGACAAATTGCACTTGAATATCAGTTTTTAAAGTATAATTCATTTCATCAAATTCTATTAGAATTTGAGTAGAACTGAGTTGACTAGCACAAACACTATCATTATATGCAGCACACATTGCTTGTTGATATAGTATAAAAACATTAGTAATACAATTCACTGCAAGAAGTGGATTTCTTAGGAAAGAAGCACCCCATGTAAGTTGTTTTACTGTGCCATGAATGCTACAAGATTCTGGTACATGTGGCCAACCATTTTCATCATAATCTGTTTCAATTTTACGTTTCCAAAAGTAAATTGTTCCTAAATTAGTTCCAACAGCTAAGGTACCTATATAATATTATAACTAACAATTAAATAATAAATATATTTCTAAATATATTGTATTATAAATAAATTGCTACCATTATTTTTACAAAAAGATATGCTTGTGCAAATTTCCTGTGGTGTGGCAATGCTTCCAATAGATGAATCTGGTGGAGTTAATACATAACTATCGCCACTATGAAGATCCCAACAACGAACGCCTAATTCTCCTGTAAGAATTGCTAAAGTATTTCCTCCTGCCCAACACATTGCTGGACCAGATCGTAATATATCATATCTACTGCTAAGTTTTACCTACATAAAAAATAGTTTTACAAAATTTATATCATATTATAATGAAATATTAAGAAAAAAAATTTAGTTACTTTTGTCAATTCAGTCAATCGGCCAGTAATAGGATCTGTCTGAAAATGTCCTATATTTAAACCTTCTGTCATAACAATTAGAGAATCTCTTGTTTGATGATGCAATATTAATTGTATTGCAGCACCATTCGTATTCAGAATCTCTGTACATTGTCCTTGGTTATCAACAAAAAATATTACACCACTAGTAGTTCCAATATAAAAAGCATGATTATCTTTTTGTGTTACAACTGTTGTTGGTGCCGCTGTTCTGGGACGCCAAGAACTAAATATATCTAATGCTCTTTCATCTCCTCCAACTGCAGCTTTTGCTAAACCACTAAAAATCATAAAAAATTTATAATTAATTCTATCAATAGAAATATAAAATTAATTTTTATTACTTTATATCCGTTATTGATTTTGGTGGAATAGTCTTAAATATTATTTGTACAAAAGAATCTTTCAATTCATGATGAAACATCATTAACAATTGACCTCTTGAATCAATTTTCCAACCAACTATAGATCCAGCTGAATCTGCAGATACCAATCTTCCTCCATGTTGACTCCATTGCAAAATTATAATAGGATCACGATGTGGTGTAACTACTAAGTTAAATTCAGTGCTACCAGTATCACCTGGCCATATCTAAAAGATAATTTGTAAAAATAATTTTTATTTCTATCATTTTAAAGCATTCTTATAAGATTCAAAAGATTGCTGACCCGTAATTCTCCATTTTCCCACCCTGCTGCAAGCCATCGTCTTTCTGGATGCCATCCAAGAGCAGTTACTTGAGCTACTGAATGTCTAGGTGATTCTACATCTTGAGTAAGTTCTCCTTGATCATCATAAATTGTTACAAAACCACCCTTATCTTGAGAATATGCAGCTACAGCCAACAAAGGATAATTAACATGCCAAATTGCATGAGTACTTATTGAAGCTGTTTCTGGATTTTGTACTCGCGTATCGAAATAAAGTGACATTATTTCTTGATTTTACTTTTATTATCAATATTAAAATCATTAATATTAGATTTTTCTATTCATAAAAAGAATTTTTTAATATATTTTTGCAATTACATACCAATTATTTTTTAAATTTATTTAGATAAAAAATATTTGTTATATAAAGAATATAATATCATTAAGGAATTTATTATACATATAAATATTATAAATTTTAATTAAAAAAGAAATTCTATCACTTGACAGCTTAGAAAAGTTTTAGTTGACAATATATTGTCATAGCAATATGAACATCTAACACCATCTTGTGTTCAAACATCATAAATAAATATCTAGCACCATCTATTGTTAATTACTAGAAATACTTAAATATCAGAATCGTTTGAAATATGCTTGTAATACATATTTTTATATCTTTTATTAAGAAGAAACATAATGTACAATTGGTATAATTGTAATGTACTATAAACTACGCGATTCACTATTCTATAAACTCGAGTTAAATTTCTTCATATTTAATATTTGATCTTCAAGAATAGCTATTTTCTAAAATTTTTAATTTATGTTAATTCCATACTCTTATAGTGTTATTTTATTTTAAATAAAATTTATGATACAATACCATGAGATATTCCTGAGTTTTATTTTCAGAAATTGTTTCTGTTTCTGTTAACAATGTTTTGTACTGTTTTTCTAATGTAGAAACAATATTATCCATTTCATTTTGTTTTTTTATATTCAGAGATGTACATAATTCATTCTTTTGTTTTTGCAGTTGTAAATGTAATGTTTTTATTTCCATATCTTTGTTCTATAATATTATAGATAAAATAGAATTAATTTATAATATTTTAATATCTTGTTTAATTTATACCTTAATTATATATGATAATTTTTTTTCATAATCATTCTCAAGTTTCTCTTTTGATTTTTCGAGTTTTGAAATAGCTTTCTTTAAAGCAAAAACTTGAGACATTAAATCTTGATTTTTTTTTTGAGTTTCATAATCCATTTCAGTTCTCATTTTGTTTAATTCTTCCTTCATCATTGTATATTGCTCAATTACAATTGCCTGTAATTTATCTTCCTGAGAAGAATACAATATATATTTAACAAGATGTTTAAATCAATTATATTAAAATATTTTATTATTTATAGAAAAAATACATCTTTAATCTTCATTTCCAATTTCATTTCTAAATCATGTATTTTCTTAGACAATAATTCAATTTCTTCTTTTCTTTGTGTATCTTTTTCTGATAATTCTATGTCTTTTTTTTCAAGTAAATCTTTTAATTGTAATTCTTTGTGTTTCTCTTTTGTAAATGAATCAAACTGCTCACATATTGTCATTATTTTATCTATCCATTGTTCTTCCATTTCTGTACTTTGCTCATTCTTTAAAATATATTTTATGATTTTCATTTTATATAACAAAGTTTCTACTTCTTACCTTACCATGGTTGATTTGTTCCAATTTTTTAGCTATTACAGCTACACTATGATCTAATGCTTCATTTTTTAATCGAGCTTCGTGTAACTGTTGTTTTAATTCAGTAAATTGTTCCATTACTGTTAAATGATATTCTCGAATAGCATCTTTATAACTTTGATCCACAGAATTTTTCAACTTTTGCATCTCTTTCAGCCTTTAACAATTTAGAAATATTTAAAATTTACTGTTTTATTATTATTATATTTAATTGCATACTAACTTAGCTTTTAAATTAATAACATCAGTAGTTAATTGACTGAGACTTGAAGATAAATAATCATTCGTGTTTCTGTTACGATTTTCTGGATATTCTGACAATTCTCTCCTTAAATATTCATTTTGAGTCTGTAATTCTGCAATAACGGTACTCAGTGCATCAATATGCCGCTCAAAAATTTTTAGTCGACATTTTTTTTTACTATACTTTGATTATGAACTTGAATAGTCGGTGAAAGATTCATAGCGTGTAAACATTTTTGATTCATATTTATATCCATCATACGATGTTTTAATAATGTTTTATTTCGCTGATGCGTTGACTTTAAACAACTATGATGAGATGTCATGGTATAATCTGATAAATTACTTACAGATGAACTAATGCAAACCTGTATTACACATTGATTATTCTTTAATTACAATAAATTTCATAAAGTCTAATATAGGTACCATATGATACGACTTAGGTAATGGTAAAAGGAATCCATTAGGTGGAGGTCTACTAAATATTCCTCCAATATGTCCCATCTTCAATTGCCTAAATAATTCTGTAAGATATTCGTTTCTTAGGCGACGTTGCGAAGTAACAGAATTTAATTTATTAAGCCAAATTTTGCATAATTCTGCACTTTCAATAGATGTTAATGCTAAGACAAAAGGTCTAACACGTGCTAATGTTTCTTTGAAACATTCGTCTAATTTCATAGTTTCTTTTTCATTATACTCACTAATTTTTGGCATGTTCTTTTGTATTTGCTATATTATTTTATTTGCTTAGCCAAAGATATTATTTGAAATTAAGAAAAGTCATTTTTTTAACAGATTTTTGCCTTTTAATTGCTCGCCGTTTTTGTTTTTGATTTGGGTACAAATACACAGTAGCCATGGATTATTGAAAAAGGTGAAAAATAAATATAAAATATTTTTTTCTGCTTCGTATCGAAATTATTTTAGAAGTAATTCAAATCGTACAAAACAAAATCACATGTTGTATAGTTATTACGTACATACATATAAGTATTTATTCGAATTCATTATTATTAATTAATTTTAGTTCTAATTATATTTCATCTATGTTCAATCTAATATTATGCTTCATAGATATATTAGATCGATATATGCTCCAAAACAAGACTTATTTAGAACTTTAATAATAAAAAAGATTCCATGAAATATATTAAGTATTGCATAAAATCTTTTTATAGCTGATCAATGTAATTCTTGAAAAATTTTCAGAAATATTTCTAAATCGAGTACAAAAAATATTTGCACATAAGAAACGCAGATAATTAGAAGCATATGTGGTAAGCACAATAACCAAAAAATATGGTTACAATGCTTAATTACATTACAATAATCCTTTCATAGCCAAATATCACAGAACAGCTCACAAAATGACAAAGCTCAGTGACAAAATCATTGTCACAAGTTCATTCCTCCCTAAGCCAAGTATTAAAATAACCATTCCTTCTCTTATAAAATTATATTCTGTACATTATATTCTGTGATATCGTACGGATATCACTTTTTAATATCTATTTTTACTTCGCTACATCTACTTATAAGATAAAATTTTACAATTTACTAAATATTTTCGTACTTTGTTCATCAGCCTATCGTTTCATACTCGTCACCTGTATTCAAGTTGGTCATTGAGATCTAAAGCAGAAATTCTGCAAAATACTTATTTCAAATACTAAACTCGACTATTTAACTTAATTTGATTTTCTGTAGTTTGTTTTAATTCCATAAGTTTCCCTTTCATGGGCTGAATATTTGTACCTATCCATTCATCAATCATTGATGGAAAGAAAATAGTTTCCATTTGAAATCTTAAATATCCTTCTAAGGAAGATAATTCTAATAGTAATCTGTAAAAGATATTTTTGATTTTATATAATTGTTATCTATATTAATGTAAAAATAAATCAACTTACTCTGTAAAAGCGGGTACTAAATTTTCTAATTGCATAGGATTTGTATAATTATTTGCGACTTGCCATGGATTCATCCACGTAGATATTCTGTAAAGAAAATGATTTTAAACAGTAAATACAATATCAGAAGTGAAATATCAGAATCATTTTTCTTTATTTATAACTTACTGTTCACTAGAAACAATATTATGAAATTTAGTTCTAAAATTTAAAAACCATTCTACTCCTACTGCAACTGGCCATCCAGGAAAAAGTAAGTTACTAGGTATTGGTGCAGGTCTAGGTTGTGGTGTTATATGCAAAGGATGATCCATATATCCTAAACATTTTGCCACTTGATTATGAATTTGTTCAGAATAACCATGAAGCCAAACTTTCAAGCATAACGCCAATGATGGTATTGCGGTAGGTAATAATTCACATAATGTTGCATAATGATCATATCTAAAACAGAAAATTTTTTAAAATAAAATAAAATTATTTCTTTAATCATAAATTTAGAAGAAAGATACCTTGACCATCCTGTAAAGACTGTTCCTCGAAATTCACGAACTTTATTTACATGTATACTCAATTCTTCTAACCATTTCTCATGATTACTTATATGATGTCTTATGATTGGTACATGTTGAGAAGATCCAGTAGCACCTTTAAATGCAGTAGCTGCCCAAATATGAGGAAAAACTGCAGTATATTTATCCCATAAATCTAACAGAAATATTTCTATGTAATTTTATAATGATAAAATATTTACATTTATCAGTAAGAATCTTACCATGAGGTAGAGCAAAATTATCTCTAGGATTATAGTGCCAGATCATAGGTTCCACATATTTTCCAATATAATGATCTGAAAGTTGTAGGAAATATTTTTATGAAACAATATGTGACATGGAATAATATGAATAAATTATCGAGATACCGTTCAAAACCTGTAAATCTATTGATCTTAACATATCATCCCATATAATAATCTTTAAATAGGGATATGTTTCTTGTACATATTGTGCAATAGCCAAAACATGTTCCAGGTACAGAGATGGTTTCCCATATTTGCTAGAGGCAGCACGTTTTATACAAACTGAGCAAAGACCTAAATGCCAGACTTCATCTGCACCTATGTGCAAATATTGTATGTCTGGATGAAAACTAACTATTTGTCGAATCAAGGACTTTACCAAAGACAATGTTCTTGGATTAGATGGACAAATTGAGCTTGGAAAGTGCTCCACTTCTCTTAAGGACCTCCATTCATCATGTTTTAAAACAAACTGTAATCATTTTAATATTAATTTCTAATTTTTTATAAATTATAATATTGTTATAATATTATACTGTGTAGTATAAAATACCTCCATATGACCAAATGTTTGTACTAAAGGAACAACAGCTAAACCACAATCTCCTGCAATTTGTAGGATATGTCTGGCTTCTTGAACTGTATATCCACTGATTAAACTGCTCAATCCATTGCTTCCTATATGAGAAAGTTCTCGATTGTATGGGAATGTGTCTTCCCATTCTAGCAGAAGTCCAGTGGCACCCCATGTCCTTAATAATGGAAATAACTGCAATATTAATTAAATTTTTATTATTATCTAATTTTTTATGAAAAAAATCAAATAAAAATATGTTCAATAAAAAATCACATAAAACAATTATATACATAATATACATATATATATATATATATATATATATATATATATATATACACA